ATGAACTTTTCCACGACATTCTAATTGATTGAGATGCACCTGTAATCTAATTACATTAATTTTTGGAATCTGATTATGTATTCCAGATTACATGTAATCAGTTACTATCCAGCACTGCTAGTTAGACTCCTCATTTGAATTGTGTGTTAGTACAGTTAGCACAGTATATTCATACTAACAGTAGTTTTGTCAACTTGCATTGTGGGTTCATCAGCAGATCACTGAGGTTTTCAAATCCAGAGTCTCCTAATTCATTCAAACTTAGGTCCAGCTCTCTCAAATGTGATGGGTTTGAATTCAGAGCTGAAGTCAGATTAAAACAGTCTTCGTCTGTCATATCACAGTATCTTAACCTACAATGAGAGAAAAGGAGATATGAAAAATAATAGAAGAAACCCTTTATGACCCTTTTGCTCTTTGATCTTTTTCACCATATCACAAAATACTAGAGTATGTATAAATAAATAAATAAATACATACATGCATATAATGTGAATTTAGCATTTTCACAAGACGCCGAATATAATATTCATTGGTTTAAACTGTTAAAGTGACTTTAATCATTTTGATTCTTGTATGTGAATGTTACTGACCTCAATCTCTCCAGTTTACAGTGTGAATCCTTCAGTATTTCACACAAGTGATTCACTCCTGTGCTTCTCATTTGATTCTCAGTCAGGTCCAGCTCTCTCAGGTGTGATGGGTTTGATTTCAGAGCTGAAATCAGGATGAGAAACTGTTCTTCTGTAATTCTGCATCTCCACAGACTGATTACATAAAGAGAAAGAACAATGACTCAAATTAATAATGTACATCTTAGTGAAGAGCTTCTGTAATTTAGTCTGTACTTCTCATAGTCTGTGTTAGGTTCAAATGTGTCACACTAGTTCAGTATGCTAGAAGCTGTTGTTTCTTCTTTTTTTTAAATATGACTTCTTACAGTATAATGATACTAACTCTAGTTTTTCCAGTTTGCATTGTGGGTTCATCAGTAGGTCACTGAGGGTTTCAAATCCAGAGTCTCCTATTTCATTCATACTCAGGTCCAGCTCTCTCAGGTGTGATGGGTTTGATTTCAGAGCTGAAGTCACAGCAGAACAACCTTCATCTGTTATGTAACAGAATCTTAACCTACATTGGGAGAAAGACAGAAAATGAAAGAAAACAATAAACAAAACAAAAAACAGACAAAAGGAAGAAAGATCATCATATTTAAAGGGTTAGTTTACCCAAAAATGAAAATTACCCCATGAATTACTCACCCTCAAGGCATCCTAGGTGTATATGACTTTCTTCTTTCAGACGAATCCAATCGGAGTTATATTAAAAATTGTCTTTGATCTTCCAAGCTGTTTAATGGCAGTCAGAGGGTGTTGCAGTTCATCAGTCCAAAAGAAGTGAAATAAAGCACATCCATCCATAATAAAAAGTGCCTCAAACGGCTCCGGGGGGTGAACAAAGGCCTCCTGTAGTGAATCGATGCGTTTTTGTAAAAAAAATAACCATATTCAAAACGTAATAATCACTTTAATCTAGCTTGAGCCAACAGCTGTACACGGAAGCAGTTCCGGGCAGATGACGTATGAGGTCGGCAAAAAAAAATATTTTTTTTTTCACAAATAATGTGAATTTAGACTCTTTACAAGATACTGAGTATTAAGTGTTTTGGTTTAAACTTCAAAAGCGATTTTAAGCATTTGTATGTGAATGTTACTGACCTCAATCTCTCCAGTTTACTGTGTGAATCCTTCAGTACGTCACATAAGTGATTTACTCCTGTGTCTTCCAGTTCATTCCCACCGAGGTCCAGTTCTCTCAGGTGTGATGGGTTTGATTTGAGAGCTGAAGTCAGGATAAGACACTGTTCTTCTGTAATACTGCAAATACGCAGACTGAATACAAAAGAGAGAGACAAATAGGTCTCAGATCTATGATGATCATTTGCATTAAAAGTGCATTTTCAAATACCACTAAGTACCACAAAATATTATTTATATTCAAAATAAAATCAGTTCACATCAATTTCAAGACTGGCTCGTCTGTGTCAGTCACTCTTGGTTTGTTCAAATGAGTTTAGGTCTGTTGTTCACTTTCTACTCAGTAACAGGTTTCATTTGATGAGCAATGTCTACAGCATTTATTAATAACGTTAATGAATGAATGAATGAATTTATTAATAAACATTTTTATAAAGATTAATGAATACTACAAAACATGCACAGCCCATTATTAGTTTGTTAGCTAATACATTATTGTTAATGAATGAGACCTTATTGTAAAATGTTACCGTCTTCTCAATATTGTCATAACTCACTTTAGTCTCACAAATCAACATTCAAACATGCTAAAAACAAGATTCTGCTTTGCACTGGAAATGTGTTCACATAAGAAATAAAATCCTTAAGCAGAAGACATTCAAGCAAGTTTTTGAAAAGGTAGATTTAAGGAAATAACAATCCATACTGGTCACATGCTCTTGCCACACTTTTATAGTATACGCTGTAGAGGTCTTTTCCGAATCCAGCTGTGAGATCTTGTGACGTGTGCATTTCTATCCTGCATGATCGCGTGTTCTCTGTGTGACGGTCGGTCCGTGCGAATTGAATACGTACAGGAGGTGAGTTCAGCTTCACTGGAGACGCGCGATCGACAAACTTTAAACTCATGATTTCAAATTATGCTGCTCTTTATGCATTTGCCCACTGTCATATTCATGTCATTTTCACTGTGCGCTGTATGTAAAATGACTGTTACCTTGGCTTTATTTAAAAAAAAAAAACATGATTCCCAATGCACACAAACTTCTCAGAATACTGAGTGGCCTGTTGGTTACAGTGTTTACTTCCTTTTTAATTGTATATTTATTAAATATTTATTTATTTGTTTGTTAAAAATACATTGTCATCTAAATTATAAGTGTTTATTTTACACATTTATTTTTAAATCCATTTTCAAATGATTTCAAATGTCTTAAATATTAATTAAAATAAATAAATTTATATCGGCCATCGGCCACCCTGCTTTCCAAGATATCGGCATCGGCTGTCAAAAAACCAATATCGGTCGACCACTAATACGCTGCACCAAAATTAGACATCTTGCAGTTATGAGTAGCTGTGTTGTGGAAAAAAACAAACAAACAAACAAACAAAAAAAACATCAGTTATTTTTTTGTCAGTCTGTTAGGAAATAAATCCTAACAAAGTTTATTGTGCAGATGTTATTTGAGGAGTGTTCTAAGCTCAAAAACAAACAAACAACTGTAGTGTGGTTATGAGTATTTTAAAATATAATAAAATCTAATTACAAGTATATACTTTTTATTTTTATTGCTCATAATCAAACTGATTGCTTAGTCAATGGTTCTTCTTGACATCTTGTCAATCTTTACATCTCTTTTTAATTCTGAGAAAAAAACTGCCCTGACTCAAATCAGGAATTAATATTGATTATGTAACATTACTAGTAGTCATGTAACATGCTAAATGATATAATATACTCACATCAGTGTGTGGAGTTGACAGTGTTTATCTTGCAGTAGAGCAGCAATCTGATTCACTCGTGCGTCTCCTAGATTATGTCCACTCAGATTCAACTCTCTCAGGAATAATGGGTGTTTACCTACAACTCTAGTCACATACTGACAGGCTTCATCAGCAGCAGGACCCAAAAATCTGAAGAAGGGAAGATGAAGCAGGATGTTCAATGTCTGAATTACGAAACATGTTCTTGTTTGTAATGAAAAGATCTAGCTACTTTTAACCAGGGGCACAGCTACATCGTTGGCCATCCCAGATGCCCTCCAACCAGCCTTGCAATTGGCTTGTATTTAAGCTATTAAGTTTCTAACTGTCTCTGGTGAAATTAACAATTCAAATAGAATTTCAGCACTCAAATCTAGTAACTTTCATCTCATGCAACTTCAGTGAAATTATCGGTAACACTTTAGAATACTGTTCCTTTGTTAATGAATAACTACACAGGACTAATGCACTATTAACATTGTAGTAACTACTATTACCTAACCAGAAACTCTGATAAATGATTTAGTAAGTAATAGCGCTCAGTTGAAACTGGTAGTTCACTAT